TTCTTAAAGATACCCAGTGAGGGAGCCCCGCGAATCCCAGGAGGTAGATTGTTCCAGAGGCGAGGAGCCACCGCTGAGAAGGCCCGATTTCTTGTCTTCTCCTTCCAGGCCTCCCTCGGCGTTAGGCTCCTCAGCCTCACCTCCTGGCTCGCTCAAGTGACACGGGTAGAACTTGGTGGGAGCAGGCGTTCCGCCAGATATCGATGCCCTAAACCGTTTAGGGCTTTATACGTAAGCGTCAACACTTTGAAGTCGATGCAGAATCGGATGGGCAGCCAATGCAATGTGGCCAGAGTGGGCGAGATATGTTGGAATTTTCTCACTCCACTGAGTAATCTGTCCGCCGCATTCTGCACCACCTTCATCTGCCTGTTAGTAGAAAAAAGGCTCTAAAGTCAGAGGCCACCATTTCCAGGCACGCTTCAGAACAGCACAAACTCTTTTAGTCATTACCTGGGAAAATATTGTGATAGTAAAGAAAAAGATTGGAATATACAAGCAAAAGGCGAGATCTTACTTCTCGCCTCAAACACTGAAGTTTGGTGGAGTTAACATACATTGTGTTTCTGGATTTCTAGGCCATGCTTTGCCCAAACTCTCAAAGGCACAGAGAAGAGATTCCATCTGGAGTTCCTTTTCATTTTCATCATCATCATCGTCATCCTTCTGTGGGGAACTGGCTCCCATGTTCTCTGGAGAATTCTGCAGTTACAAAGAAAACGTGAGGTTTGGAAAAGAAAAGAGTTGATTAGCTTTTACATTTCTCTTCCCAAAACTCTTTGAATATCCTAGCTCAGGTACTGCTATTATTGTTCTTTTAATAAGAACAATGAAGTGTGAGGGGCAATATAATCTAAATCTATCATGTAAAAAACCCACATACACTGCACTACACTAATGGCAGCATAAAACCTTAGACAGCCAAGCTTCCCAAGTCTAGCAGCATTTTCAAGAAAAGAAAGATCTTCATTCCATGTCAGGAAGTAGGCAAGCAATACAAAGGGACAATCTGATCACTGCTTCCCACTGTGGTCTTCTAAATCACTTAAAATGAATTATTTTGCAACAATCACCGTGTGGAACAGTAACCACCAGCTGATGTGGGGATGGGGAAGCACCAAAGAGGCAAATAAAGACAATGCATCCCACTGACCAACTGCCTTTTCTCACAATTGTCTGGAGGTCCCCCAAAACAATTATCACCGCTACAACATCAGAAAGAGAAGGAAAGCACATGCATATAAGGACACAACAAACACTGTTCAAAAGAGCACTTTTAGACACCTGCCTTTTTCACCTGAATCACTCAGATAGAAAGAAGCTGAATCTAAAATGAAAGACTCTAGACTCCAGGAGTCTTGGATCATGAAAGAAACGTTCATGCCTTATGTGGGGAAAGTGGATGGAAGTGAAATCTAAGGCTTCTGGTTGAATTTGCCTACCTTTATAGCCATGCCCATGGCCTGTAATTCATGTCTAAGAAACAGCAAACAAGGAGGAAAAGAGTACTCATAACTCAATTTAGATTTCTTATAAAGACTTGAACCAGAATCTTAGATAGGCTGGTTCTCCACTTGCACTAACACGGAACAGTGCACGAAGGGAGGAGTCTTGTGGCGCCCAAACTCTGCTCATGACTCAGGGTTCAATCCCAGGGACCCAGCTCAAGGTTCACTCAGTCTTCTATCCTTCTGAGGTCTGTAAAATGTGTACCCAGCTCATGAGGAGGAAGGAAATGTTTGGCCTGCATAATGAACTTCTAAATCACCCAGCAAGTCCTTTAAACACTATGGGGCAGTATATATGCAGCACACTTTCAAAGGGACTGCTCAGAAGACGAGGAAGAGGCCAGCAAAATCTCACTTTCACCATCACTCTGCCCACTCTATGAAAAGGAGACAATATAATGAGCCTCTCTTCCAGAGGTGATTTTTGAGAATGTAAGTGAAACATTCTGCACACCCTACAGAGCTAGAGAAAGACAATGGCATCGCATTATTAGTGGTGCCTTTAAACCAAAGAAAAACACAAAGCTCACCTTCTTTATTATTGGAAAGATTATGCCTGTCAGTTCCTGGAACCGATTTTCCTGGGTGGTCTTCAGCACATCGGCAGTGCATCGAACAGCTACTATCTTGTACCTGAGGTTCTCTTTGCGGCACTCCTTGAGCAAGGCCTGAAGAATGTCATCAATACTGGGCTGGCCAGACACTGATGTGCGCAGCTCCGCACTGAAAATGCCAAGGACAAGTTAACGGGCAATGGCTGCCAGGCCCACCACCCTTATTAAGCGCACGCTCCTATCCTTTACTTATCCAAGAACTTAATATGTACTTTTGTTCCTTCCTCCATTTTGTTAGGCATTGTAGATATTTTATTATCTGATTTGACTGTTGTTTTACAGATAAATTGCCTTATCTGTAAAAGCACTACATGACCAATCAATAATGTACTCTACTATAAGGCATTTTACTGTGGTGATACTCAAATAACATTCCACCAGGGTTTTTTAGAAATGAAAGAAAATGTTTTACTTAAGTTACACGTAAAAAGTAAGTTAGACATACACTATTTGCCAAATGAAAGTTTTAAAATCCAAAGATTCTAACTCTTCAGAAGTTAATTTTTTTTATCCTTACCTGCATGAAGAAATGACACTGGCAATAGCTTTCAGTAACTCCTCCTACAAGTGGCATTGCAAAACAAAACATGTGAAAATTATGAAGCTACTACAGTACATGTATATGTATATAACCTCTTTGCTAATTTAGATTTGCCTAAAACTACAGATTCTTGTATTTTAATTCAAGACAGTTATTTAATTAAAAAAAGGGGGGCAGGATACACAAGGCAACTATGTGTCTCCACTCTTAAGACAGTGTTGATTGTATTAGTGTATGTCAGGATAGGCCAAACAGCATGCATCACCCCAGCAAATTGTTACTTAGTTAAGAAGGCAACACCAGGATTCTACTGCCCATCTTCTTAATTAGCAGCAATTAGTATTTTACACGAACCGCAGGTGTTCACAGATAATTAGTCACAATATCAACAAAAAATTGTCATAATGGTAGCTTTCCATCCTTCTGATTTGGAAGGATCTCAGGCTGCTAGGTTAGCAAAGACAATAGGGATTCTCCTAGAAATTTTATTAACCATTTAAAATGGAGTACAAATCTGCTACCCTACTAAATCAGCATTGTTGACAATTAGAGAAAGACAGGGAGAGAAACATTTTAAAAGGTTATAAAAACAGTCAAAAAGACAGCTTATGTAAGGAGCAAAGGACAAGAAGCGACACTGCTGGAGGTGTGTATGTAAGCATGCTTTATAACATTACATGAATATACCTGATTTGATTATGTAACTGCTTATGCTTTAGCAATTAAAATATTAATAACAAAGAAGTTATTTAATTGAGTTTTTAAACATATTTTTGTAATACTTTGTTCAATTCTTATTAGATTTTGAAACAGGTAATTATGTTTGTTAGGTTCTTATTACATCACTTTGAGACATTTCCATAGCTACATTTCTGAAACATAATATTAAGTTTTTATAGTTACATTTTTTTGTTATTCAAGAGATAGAAACACTGTTACACACACATATATATGTATCTCTGCTTGTCAACATTTGTTAAATAAAAAGAAGAGAAATTTGACATTCAGTTTATTTACTTTGCAAGAAATTTAGAGGATATTCTGGAGAAGTGAGTTTATTGTGCAAAGTACAGAATATTTATCTTGTTCACTCTGAAAGAAACTTTAAGTGAGATAAATGCCAGTTATGATGAACACAGCCTGATTTTTCCTAGAGGTGTATAAAGGACCATAAGTCTCTTAGGAGAGTGTTCAACCCATGAGATTTTCTGACTTGACATTCCAATTCCATGGTAAGGTAAGCAAGTGCCCAGCAAGCAAAACCGGTACCTTGTTAATCAGCATCAACTGGCCGGAAAGATTTACATGCTTTCCCTCATGCAGAATGACTTGAGGCCATTAGGGACATTTTAATCCTCTTTCTAGACCACAGGAATCAATGATACATGATAACAGAGTTTTTACCTTCCCTGTCCATGTTCTCCCAGAAAGGCCTTGCAAAAGAGCCGTGAGCACCAGGCCTAAGTGTGGAGGAGCCAAGGAGCCCGTCTGCTTTGCTATGGATGCCATGGCAGCAGCACCCTGAGCTTTCATCTTCCAAGACTGGGACTGCAAAGCTTTCTGGGTGATTGCAATCAGCTCCTCCATATAGAGTCTTATGCCACCATAGGTACCTGCATTCCAAAACAGAGCATTTCACAGAATAAGTAAAAGAGCCAACAAAACACATGAGAGCTGAAGAAAAACAAGTTTCACAAGGACTCATCTTCAGCTGGAGGAGATCATCTGGTATATCACAGAAAGTTCTGCTTCAGCAAAGGACAGATAAAGATGATATTTTAAATTTCACAAGGAGATTTGCATTCTGTTTCCCTGTGCCATACTAGAGACCCTCAAGACAACGAACTCATGCACTTAAATTCAGAAGACCAACTCACCAGGTACATTTTCCTGCCATACTTCAGTCCACAGGTTGCCATCTTCCTTCTCTCCTTTTTCTTCCTCAGAAATCTCATGCATGCCAAGGAAAGCCAAAGGCAAGACATACTTGGCTTGATTCTTCAGCACATCTGGGCTGTACCGCCCAATAGCATGGATAGTTAATGCACAGGCCAGTTTATAGACTTGTTCTGAAGTAAAAGATCGAAGTTACCAGCATGCAGCCACTGGAAATCTCTCAACTGTTTGTACAGATTGGATCTCACAACAAGGGATCCACAAACTTGAAGGGCATGTGCCACTGATAGGTGATCTCCAATCTAGTGTTGCACAGTGTATTATCCAATAACAGGTCTAACAGCTCATTTGGGAAGGATTTTACCAGCTGTTTCAGCAGCTAAAGATTCTGAAAAGTTTCATGCCTATCTCTTAGTTTTTGAAATACTAGGACAGGAGGTGCACAAGCCTATACGGTAAATGACATTTATTATTATTATTCTTAGGAAAAGCAATTTTTCATGTGACAAATGTCAGGCTTTTGTACACATAAATACCTTCTTTCTCCATGTACCAGTTATTCAGTTTCTGTAGCAGTTTGTCAGTACTACTGTCCCGTGAGGTCTGTAGACATTTTAAAAAGAGAAAAGAACAGATCATTTCAGAATGCACTGAAATGCAAAACCAAATGTAAAAAAAGAGAAGTTAAAAAAGCTGCACTCACCCGAACTAGATGTCCCATAGCGAATGCATATGATTTTTGCACCACACTGTTGCGATCAGTCAGACCACTGAGCAAAGCGCTCATGAGTTTGCCTGTGTATGAATAATTATTTATTTGGATAAGTGACAGACTACGTTCCAGAACTAAACGTTAAAATGTTGCTTCTTTCCTGTTAAGATTATGCTCCTTTCTACATAAACATTAATTGTTGAAGAGAAAAATCTGAGGAAAGGGGAAGTCCCACTGCACAAACAGAAGCCAACTCACTTGATATTTGTTGCTGTCTATTAAAAACAATTAAGCCCTTAGTCAACGTTTGCTTCAATTTCAGAACTGCCCGCTCTTTACCTTAACCGCCATCTCTGCCTAATAATTAAATAAATCAATATACTAAAGATGACTAGCATATAAAAGACATTCATCGCAACACGTTGCAAAAGCACATTAAAAGCAAACACTCCTACCTGAATATGGGGTCAAGTCTTGGGGACACTGTGTGGTTAGTGAAACAATTACACTAGCACAACCACCCTACAGAGAAAAAATGAAGGAGGAAATCCATTTTTCACTTATTATGTTAGGTGCAGTTCAGGCTTGCAGAGTCTACACATTTTTACTTGGAAAGAAGTCCACTGAACCAAGCGAAATTTACTTTGACATAAATCTGCACAGAATCAGGTTGCAGTCACCAAGAATTATGACAATATAAGATCTGCAATTAATAAGCATGCTATTGTTAGTTCTCATAATAATACTTGCAGTTTCCACAATGACTTTATATATCTGAAACAGTGAAAAATCTGTACAAGAGTTTGACTGTATCCCTCAACTGCCCTTCGTCTATCTAAACCTGCCTCAAATCCCACAGTTACTGCCCAACCTCTTAGCTCAATGGACGAATTACACTCCTTTCTCCAATCTCCTAATCAGACCTACACAGAGACAACCAATCTATTTTGTTGACAATTCAGTCTGTGCCTGGAACCCCCATCAGCTCTACAGGACACCCTCACTGGAAACACCAGCATACCTTCGTGCCAATGCCTATTCCACTCCTGGTCAGCTCACACAGCCTAGGAATCAGCTCACCCAGGACAGACACATCCAAATATTGCAAGCACTGCAAAAAGAAAGAAGATGAGAATCAGAAGACTGATAACACAATAGAGCTGTATGGCCCCCATGCCTCCCAGTGCTACACCAGCACATCAGTCCATGCCAGACCAAGGTGTGGAAACCAAGAACACTGCTAACCGGTGGCAGACAGAGAATGTAATTTCCAGAGGAGAAGTACTGTATATGAGGGGTGCTTGACTCCTCCCCTGCTTCCCACTGTAATCAGTTCAGTTTTTGAGCTCTTTTCCCCCTTACTCAGCAAACCTACCTCCAGAATCCTGGATGGAGCATGGGAGGTATGGAAAAAAGGAGTAGGAGGAGGTGGTAAGGTGTGCTTGTGCACAACCACTCCACACCCAATAAGCGCCCTTTACTCCAGCCGCTTTGCATATATGGCTGTGGCCGGATGTGTATGCAGGTGTGAGTGCCTGGAGACACATACATTCACTTATATATCAATTAAAAAGATGTTTAATGTGCATTCTCAGCATTTCAGTACTTTGTTATAATACCAGATTCTGGCAGAGGACATGTAATCCATTTTTCCTTACCATGTGAATCACATGAAACTAATGCCACTCCTCAATGAGAACAATATGCTTTCCATGCCAAAGGTTCAGTTCCTTGTCTCCACTTAAAATGAGCTTAGCCTGCAAGAGACATCTGCTAGATGCCCCAACCAAAATAAAGAACACCAGGATGGCTAAAGCAAGGCTTGGACTTACATAATGCAGCTTCATATGTTAAAATACTCCATGCATGTCCATCATAGTTTGCCTTTTGTTTTTGAAGAAGACCATTTCCATCACATTCACCATTGGAAAGAGGAAAGGAATGAGTGGTTAAGGCTGAGCAATCATATGCTGATGGGCAAGCAAGTGATTAACTAGCCCAGGATGACTCTGGAAGATACAGGAATAGTGGGGGGGGGGGGAGCTTATCTGGTCCTGGACTACTTGTGCCATCCATGCTTTCTCACTTCTCTCTTCCTTTTGTGCATCCCTGATCCTTTTTATTTCAAATTCATCAGTCCCTTATTTGACAGCGTTTCACCAGATATTTCAGTTTTGAGTGACAGCTTCCCAATTGACATGCCAATATTAAATTATTTCAATGTGGTATTCAGTGTATGCTTGAATTGTTTCTTTTATCCACTGTATAATGGCACCCCACACACACCCAAACATAAAAGAAGTGGCACATTCTTCCATGTAGGCCTGAAATTTACTTTATTAGGGAAAAGAGAGCAGCAGCAACTCATCTTCTCCAGCACTTTCTCTACAGAATGCTTTATATGCTATGTATAGCTGTTCTCAAAATACAGTTGTTACGAGATGGATATTTGGTAGCCTTCTAGCAGAGCCAATTGTATGACAGGCAAGAGATAATAGCACAGACACTCCTTTTAAACCCTTCCTCCCTATTCACATCAACTGAAGCACTCAAACTTGAGCCTAATCTTCAGTTCCTTGGGAAGAGAGTCACAATGGCCTTGGTGAATAAAGTCTGCACACCCCAGGAAAATTCTGGGTGCTGCCAATGTTCCCTGAAAGGTGAAAGCCCTGGAACCACACAGGGATGGAGCTCATTTTACTGTGTTGAATGGACAAGGAAAAACACAACTCCACTGGATTCTCTCTGACTGCACTGCCTTGTGGTGAAGAAACAGACAGACTATACAGATGCTTTGCATATCTGCCACAGGTTCAAGAGCTTGAAGAACAGTTTTCTGTTTCAAACTGGGATTTTCTTAAATCCAAAGGCCTCCTGCCTCCAAATGAGTCAAAGAATAAAGTTCCATGTACTGACGTGAATCACAATCAGGTGAAGGCCTTCTTTCTCATGATGCATCCCCAGTTTTATACTATAGAAACAGGCCCTCTTTTAAATCAAGCTACTCACCATATTGATAGTTTCCATCATGGGGGAGGATTTAGCAGCACTTAGTCTTGCACTATCCATTGCAGCCTGAAGGACACAAGGGGTGGGGGGGAACACAACACTGTTGTAATTAGAATCTGGAGCTGAAAAGTCTCCAGTAGAAGCAGAGGGTGTATATAATGGGGGAGGCAACACATTACTCTTAAGATGAGCACGACCCTTTGCCTGCTTTTGCAAACTGTGCTCCCCTTTCACTGAAATCTGACTGTGTGGCAACAGTACATAACCCTCCACAGATTGGCAGGCGGTTCCCAATCTGCTTCCTATCTCAGTGGATGAGAACACCTGACAGTAAACAAGGATTATTTTAAAGGACTGAAGAGTATGAGTGGGAAGGAGGAGTCTTTTTTTATCCTGTTTTATTATACTGAAGAATACTTGCCATTTTAGTTAACCTTCAGATTTTTCTTTAATCCTTTCAAGTTCAAACTATTTTAAAAACTGGAATTATGGCAAGCCCTTTTTTAATCCTCATAATGGATTTTATAACTACATAATCTTGCTCAACACACAACTGCTACTACGTAGAGATTTCTACATGTATACAGTTAGCTATAAATCTTTCAAGATGCCTTTCAGCAAATGCACTTACCTTTTCCTGATCTGTAGCACGCAGGCTCAGGTAATTGAGCACCTGGGGTTCCAGCACACTTAGTGACTCCAACAAAGCTGGGATGAGTTTGGGGGCATGTGGTTTTAGCATAGCCCCAGCACTTTTGCTGATCTTCACCAGCGTGTTAATGCTATAGGTGAAAAACGAAGAAAGTTAAGGTGCTAACTGAGTGCTTCAGTGAATCTGAGTTATATTATAACTCATAAAGTAGAATCTCTTGATGCACAGTAGTCCATCCATGTATGGGATGAGGTAACATAAAGATTTGCCCTGCTATCTGAAAGAAAACTGTAAATGCAATGCTAAGACCCAGGATAAATAAGAAGCCCAGGCCAGTAGTATGCAGATGCACGTAAAACTAAATGGTTCCAACTATTCCTTCAGTCACCTGAAAAAAGGCCAGCCCTTTTTTAATCCTCCCACTGTCCACCTTTCCTCTCCTGGATAATACCTGCCTCCTTACTGAAAGAACATTAGAACTGCTGTTCCCATGCCTGAGGGGAATTCAAAGAAGGCTCTCCAAATGTAGCTGTTGGAAGCTCAGAGCCTTCTCAACAACTGTTATGGTAACAGTCATTCAGAACCTCCTTAGCATCAGTGGGCTTCTAAGTCAATGAGCACCGAATGCTGTACTTTGTCAGTGTCATTTATTCAATGCAGAAGGTGACTGTTTATGTAATCACAACTAGGAATTTGTGGAAGCCAAAAGTAAGAAAGATTTTTGAACACACCTAAGGGTCCGCACTTCTGTCACGGTATTCATCATTCCTTTATCAAGAAGGCACGGCAACAGTACAGCAATTGTTCTCTGGCCTGCAGCTCCTTTAGAGGGGTCACACATCTTCACACACACCTAGAAAGGAGGCAACTAAATTCTGTGAACCTCTTGCATGAAAATGTATGTCTCATTTGCATGAAGAATATAAGAACTCGTGTGAACTATGTGCTCTTTGAACCAAACTGAATTGCACTGAGAGGTAAAATTGGGCTATTCAGTAGAATGATTGCAAAAATGTACCTTACTTAATGTTTTCAGGGCTAACTCTGCTGCCTTTCGTACAGATTCCTGAAAAAGGAAAATAAGAAGGGAAATAAGTTTTTGCTTATGCTTTTCAGTATAGCTAATGTACCAATAATAAGGTACATTTTAATCCTGATATTCTAGCTTTCTGAGACACAGATCCCTATTTGTTACATCTCAGTTGCTTCTGTCACAGACCAGATGAGCCAAAGAAGACCATATCTCCCAAATCAATATGGGGACTGCCCAATGATGAAGACAGACAGACAGCTTACAGAGTACAGATTTCTAACTCTGCCCAATACCAGCATATACAGCACATAATTCCTATCAGCACCATCAAATTCACCAACTATTTATCTGTATAGACATAACATGCAGCTGTTATAACCTTACTGTAGAATTTGTATTTGTGTAAGGGAAAGCATGTACCTCTTGGTGGCAAATTGCCACTCACTGGATAGAAACCTGTAGTAAGTTGCAATTAGAATTGGCCCATTGAATCAAGGGTGATTTGAGGAGACAAAACCTACATAAGTTCCACTGATTCAACAGACCTACTATAATTGCAACTTCTGAAGGATTTCAGCCATGAACTAGGTGCTGGCTATATTCTGAGCATATCACAACTTGCATGAATTAGCAACAGGACTCTGGTCTTCATGATCATGAAAAACTTCTGCTAATACAGATTTTGAGCGCTCTACTTAATTCCATCTATTATTTTCCAAAGTTCCCCATCCTTTCAATTTTTTTTAAATGTATGCTTTGCTTCCACAACTTAATTAGCAACACGGCTCTAACAGCTAATTATATGCAGGAGTTCTATGGTTCAGTCTCTGAAATGTAGATTAATTTCAGCTATGTAGGCAGTCTCAGATTCCGAGCAAAGCATCACCATTGGAGAGAAGCTGGGGGCCTATCCCTTCTCCCTTGCAGTTTCCCCAATGAGAATCACACAATGTTGTTTTGGAAATTAGGGGGAAGGAAGGAGGAGGCTTCTGTTCTCCTCCATCTGGATGAACAGCAACCTTGGTTGCAGTAGATTTAGAACAAGAGGGAGAAAAAGTTTACCCTCCACACACTACATTATAACCATTCTGATCAGATTTGCTGACATCTGCCACCCTACTCTTGCTATATTAAAGCATATAGTAAAGGTTGTTGTGGGTTTTTCGGGCTCTTTGGCCGTGTTCTGAAGGTTGTTCTTCCTAACGTTTCGCCAGTCTGTGTGGCCGGCATCTTCAGAAGACAGCACTCTGTCCATACAGTAAAGTATTAAATATCTAAAAGGACTAGTCATAGATCTGCTCTCATAACATGAAACTTGATCCTCATTCTAGTGAACAGATCAAGAAATGTTTGAAAATTACACTGAGGGGGAGAGTCTTAAAGGTGTCCAAAAACACTTTGATATGAGCTCCAATAACATTTTTTACTCCAGTAATTAATATATGCAGTGTACATGTCTGAAGTCTTAACAATATGCCATATTTAAGATTTTTTAAAATCATTCATTTTAGAAATTTTTTGAGTCAGTCAGAATTTGCAATCACCAAGAACCAGAATCATCCCTCAGATGGAAAAAAGCAGTGCCCAAGAATGCTTACAAAGTAAGCATGGCTATGGTTAAAGATCTTTTCCTACCCATCCCTAGTTTAGGGGAAAGATCATCTTTGTCCCTCAGAGAAGCTAAGCAAGCAGTACAGTGCCAGACTACTTTCTGAGTTTTCCATTTCATTAATAAAGTTCAAATGTGATGGCTTTGGAAGCCAAACGCCAAAGTAACAGCATAAATGTGAGCTTTATCATTCAGGAAAGAGTAAACTCTGCATCTGAGTTTGATTCATGCTGAACCCCAATAACTCCCACCAAAACCAGCAGAAGAAAACAGCAAGTCAACTAAGCTAAAAAAAAAAATCCTGTTTATTTCCTACAGAAATCATGAGTCATTTTCCTTCTACTAAACAGTTAAAAATTTAGTACCTTTATATCATCTTGCACTCTAAAGAGAGTTTCCCATATTTCCGGAAGCTTATGAATAATGTCATCCAAGGGTCTTCCTCTTAGCAAGTCATTCAATGCTAGACAGCTGTGGAAAGAGCCATGATTATATTTCGAAGAAGTGAAATGTGTATGGAATGAAATAATAATCACAAGCACAATACTCCTCTCTCCCTGCAAGAAGCAGCCTTAGGATAATTTGGGCTTATTACATACCCTCCAATTCTAAGGAAGCGTTTCATGGAACTGCAAGTATGGCTGGTGCCATAAGTTTCATGCTGGCTTGTTTCAAACACACCATAGTTAAAATTAATCACAAGTTTCACTTTAGATAAAATAACATGCAGTAGTACCTCGGTTTACCAAATTAATCCGTCATTCGGGAGGTTACGTAATGTGGAAATTACATAAACCGGAAAGCGGATTGCCATATCAATGGGGGCGGCGCTAGAAACCTCCAGACATGATGCATACTTTTCGTACAGTGAAAAAAGACCCGTAAAAAACATAAATCGAGGCATTATTTTTTATGGATTTTGGCTTGTAAACCGAAAATTACGTAAACCGAGGCGTACATAAACCGAGGTACTACTGTGTTTCCAAACTCTTTGTCATAGACATGCTTGGATGAAGAGGCAAGAACAGTATGCAAGACTGAACTCAAACAAGGTCATCATAGTATGCTAAACTATAGTTAAATGTGATTTTTGAACACAGTGGGTTGCAGTATCAACCTATCTCAAAAACGCAATGGTCAAAAGATAAAATGAAGAATTTATTCTGAGACAGAAGAGTACAACCCTATAGGCCACATGTGACTTCTTAGCAATGGCTAAGAAATTCTGGGTGTTTTGCCCACAAAGCCCTGTGGTCTTCAGGGGTCCTCTGCCTCCAACTTTCAGTCTCTTTACATGTCCAAGCAAAAAAAGCAGAATGCTCAAGCAGAAGACATTAAGAATTCAGAGCAGGCACAATTGATCAGAGGTAACGGATAAAAAGAAGCAAGCAATCTGAGTATCATATCAGAAGTGTCTGAAAATCAGAGAGACAAAGACAGGGAGAGGTCTACCCTTAGTCAGGGATGGAGGGAAACTGGAATGAGGGGCTGAAGGGCCCACATGTGTCTCAAAGGTCACAAATCAAACAATTCCTTGCCTTCCTGTGTAGTGAAAGGAAATAAGTCATATGTGTGAATTGCTCCTTACACCAGCCAGCTTTCTTCATTTCTTAAATTTTATATCCCTCATAACTGTCAAAAATGAAAAGCAACACTGGAAAAATGCATGAGCAACTCTGGATCTTCTACAGATCCTTTACGGAAAACACAGCAAGGGGTTTCAGAAATGCATACCTAGACTCACGAATCCGCCACATGTTGCTCGTCAGGTTGTTTATTAAATCATCCAGGATTTCTTTCATATATTTGTCTACCTGATAAAATGGAAACAAGCAGTAAATATTAAGAGCTTCCATATTTTCAAGAAAGGCATAGTCATAAACTAACATTTGCAGGGATTATTTTCAACAAAGCCAACTGCAAACTCCAACTACACAGAAGATTCTCTCTTGAAGTCTTTTTTTTCTATATGAATAATATACTGGTAAACTGGGTGTGACATACAAAAACATTGTTTTAAAGATAACCTAAATTGTTTTCACTTGTGATGAAAGTGATTCAGATGCTCAGCACATAAATACTGTGTGTGGGGAAAGTGCCTTTTCATATCTCAAAACACACATTTTGTCATATGCACAAAAGTCACGACCCGAAGTGATGCATACCACAGCTCCAAGCAGAAATATTAGGAAGTAGCTTAACTACTAGAAGATTTGCTCCTGAATAGATATACTTAGGAATACACTTATATTCTGAGGCGAGAACCCCGTTTGCCTATAGGACTGAGAAGAGCAAACATGTCAAGCATTCCTGCCCATCCTCTGACAGATTTTCCTTTGTACAAATGAATGCACACTGGTTGCAAAATCAGGTGTGCAACTGACAGTGCAAAGGACCACCCACTAGAGAGGAAAAACACATTTCCTCTTGTGCATGTAGTTTGTGTTAAAAGGTTTTTTGGCCTGAGTAAATATATTTAGGAATGAGTTAGCAGTTTTTACTCAGAGGCACTTACGGCTCATCTAAAGGATGCATGTGGCTTGGACTGATGTGGGTTGGGACAGTGATCCCTTTTCCCCACAGATTGAGAATGACTCTCCAAGCTTCCATACTTCTTTTAAATTTTCCTTGACTATAATACATGTCCACATTACCATATCCCCTCCATTCCTCCTCCAACTTTCCCTTTCCTTCATCTAATGCCCTCTCCATGCTCCATCTTGTTTCCACCCCTTGGAAAGGATATGCATAAGACCTGCCCTTTAATAGACAATGGGGGCAGGGGACAGAGGGATCTTTTCAGAACTTTAAAGGAAGGAAATGGAAGAAAAGGTGCAGGAAACAAAAATCCAAGAAAAAAAATCTGCAAATGAATTTTTTTTTCCTCTGCCTGAAACAGAGGACAAGAGGGAGCCTTGGCAGGAAGGTTTCCTGTTTAGCAACTTCTTGTCACTATCTGGTGAAACTGATCTACTTTTCAAGTTAGTGCAAGAAGGTGTGTGTAGGGGAAAGATTTCTTTCTCACTGTGGGAGTGTTCTCCCCAGCACCAAGCAAGGAAGAAAGAAGAGAGAAAAAATTTCCCCTCTCTTCTTTGCTTGATGCTGGGAAGAACACTCCCATAGTGGACAGCACAGCTGATCTCAAAGGGGAGGGGCTTTTAATTGTACACACACAAACCCCAGGAACCAGCCCTGTTTGAGACAAAAGAACATATGGGGTTGCCAGGTCTGAAAGGAAGTGGGCTGAGAAAAAAAAATACTCGGCTCTCAAGCAAGGCAAAATAATTCTGAAATGGAAGGCAAGGAGGCAGGATTGATTTGAGTCCATAGTAATATACAGACCCATTAAACTGGGAACACCTCTCCAACAGAAGCAAAAAGGATGTGTGGATCAGCTGTCACTGACAAGACTCTGCTCCACAGAGTCTCCCACTTTAAAGTCCTATTATATTGATCCTAAGCTGTGTGCTACACAATTGACAACAGGCACCTGCTTAAACCCTTGTTTAACAAGGTCTGCCAAGAACATAAAGTAGACTGCCCTCCGGATGAACAGTGTATTTCAGCACTACCTCCTTTCAATACTTCCATGTGGATGCTTCCTATGGAGCAGTCCTCATAATCTCCAACTCCAAGGCTAACAATTTCTTTGAGTAGCTGCTTCTATAGAGGTAGCCACAGCAGCCTTTTGAAGCAAAACCAAAACAAGCAAAACCCACCAGAGTCATGTGGCAATTAGAAGACAAAGGACAGAATCCTCTTGGGAAACTGCAGAATGCCATGGCAATTGTGCAACATCCCTTCCCCACCTCCAACATGACCTGCTGCTTGCTGATGGACCCTCATGGCGCAGTGGTTAAACTGCTGTACTGCAGCCATAACTGTGCACACGACCCGGGGTTCAATCGGGGGGGAGGGGGCATGTGTAGCCTGCATAACTAACTTGCAAACTGCCCAGAGAATGCTTTAAGTGTTATGGGGTGATATATAAGCAGCACACTCTGCTTTGATGACAAAATTCAACACTTGACTGTTTGCATGAAGGACATTTCACTAAACAGGGGATGTTGTTTTGCATACACATTTTCTGTAACAGGATCCTGGCCGAACACATTTATTTCAGCATGAATGATTATAGACCCAATTTGTTTCCTCAAAAGCTGAACAAATAATTTTGAAATAAAACAGATGTTACTTTCCTAATTCAACATGCAACGTGTAACAAATTGTAGATCCTTTATCTATAAGCAGTGCTCTTCTTGGGAATCCTTTACAAGACTCTCCAACTACATAAAACTTGCAACTGCTAGACAAAAAGACAGTAATTAACTACCTTTGTGTTTACTTACTGCAGACTTATCTGTCACAAGTGCATTCCAAATGCTGGTCATAGCCTGACGAATCCCGATATTGGGGTCAAACTGATAACGGTAGAGACGAGGAAGTAGCTGGGGAAGAAAAGGAGCCAGCTGTTCCCCAGCTTTGGTGGCAATCACATTAAAACCAAAAGCTGCTCCCTGATTAAAGAAAGAAAAAAAAATATTGCTGAAGCTGCACATTTAAAAGTCTGATACAGTGGTGCCTCGCATAACGAGAGCACTGTTTAACGATGAATCCGCATAGCGATGCGGATTTTGCGATCGCTAATGTGATCGCATACCGATGTTTTAATAGGGCAAAAATCGCTTTGCGACGATTGGTGATCATTTCACTTACCGATCTTCGTATTGCAATGGGGGAACAGTTGTTCGGCGGGTCCAAAATGGCCATTGGAACACCCAAAATGGCCGCCGGAACACCCAAAATGGCCACGGCCGGATGGGGAAACATCGCAGAACTGTGAGTTTTGGGCCCATTTGGAACGCATTAAACTTTGGAATGCATTAATGGGCTTTTCCATTCCATTTAGCGACGTTTCCCCATAGCGGGGCACCACTGTATATGCTATGCGGGGCACCACTGTATATGTTCATTCATTTATCTAATAACAGAAAGTTGTCAGCAGTGACAATCTAGGTATATCCTGTTTTGATTATTTAACCCCACTTTGGCTTGAGAGGGTGGGCATTATGACAGTGATGTAGGCCATAGTGGATTGGGGGATGTGAAACTGGTCCCCTGCTTCCATGAATCTGTCCAGCCCTTTCTAAAACACTTTTTTGGGAGGGCACTTTGTGAAGATGTGGCCATTTTTGTATTTTTAGACAATTTTAGAAGAAACATGTAATGTGTTATTTTGAATAAGTAACAGTGCCACAATTTAAAAAAATAACATTCCAAGCTCTGTTCAAATCAATCCAAAACAGAAACCCAAATTTCTTCAATATGAATTTATATACTCACATTTGTTTTTGTTTTTTACCATGTCATTCACACCAACAGCCAGAAATGTATTACCTTTCGAGAATTCCACATTGCATGATGGTTGGCTAGATTCATGAACTTGTACACCAAATCTGGTTGGTTGAGGTCACTAGCAAGTGAGCAAAGCTCCTGATAAGTAGAAAGACCCTGGCTTGGGAAAATAGAAACAAACAATTAATGCAACTTTTAAGTAAAACCACTTGCAGAAATCATCATCAGATAAACAGTAATTGTGAATGCTGCCAGAATAATACTTCTAAGACAGATTTTAATAAAAGTTGTTGCAATTAGCAACTGTCTTTTTGAAAACCCCAATGGAAAAAGTCCATGTAAAAATCATGCAAGTAAGCTAAATGCTCCCAGACTGGCACAGTTTCAAATAAAGGAATCTTCTTTCAGCCCACATTTCTCCCTGGCTACCCCTCTAGGAGTCATGACCTTGGTGGGCCAAATCTCAAACAGGCTTTGAGATTTGGCCCACCAAGAACACACATTTTCTCTCTCGCTCACTCTCTTTTACATGCAGCCCTGTCTTCACTGTTGCCTTAACAGTTGCATACATTAGTGGGGGAGAAAACAGTGGGATGGGTAAAGAGAAAAGTCTCAGAATGAACTGCTCACAATGACCATTGATCAAATGGATAATAAAATAAAATAAATTCAAAGGCCTGTAAAAAGGGGGGTGGGGACGAATAAGTTTTAAATCAGGGACATTGACAAAGCATTGAGGGGAATATGCTTGCATCTTTTTTATGGCTTTTTATTCATTCATTCATTCATTCATTCATTCATTCATTCATTCATTCATTCATTCATTCATTCATTCATTCATTCATTCTTGAGCTTATGGATCAAAACCTATGTGTTCCTAGGTGGTGTATTTGTTTAGGGTTGCCTCTAACAAAGATGACAGGCAGGATGGCCAAAACCAATCCCTAAACAATAAAACATGCTGCTGCAACTAAAAATTTAACCAGTGTTAAACTTGGCAGGTATTAGACGTAATGTTTATCACAAAGGATTTTAGAATTTAACAAACAGCAGTTAATACAAATTTACTGTGAGCAACCTTGCAGCAGGTTTTGGGAGGGGCCTTACCAAGGAGACCTATTGTAAATTCTTCACTTCTGATGTAGCAAAAAGTAAAACTTCAGGAAGGATGTATCTAATGTAAATACTGTACTACTTAGCACTGTGACATACCCATCTGGAGTCTTGCCAAGACCTGACCCTTGGAACATCACTGTCTCTCCAGTTACTTCATGCTTGACTCTGGGAAAGAAAGTATGTCTTTATAAGCAGAATGGGACAGAGAGTGACTAAACACATGATTGTCAGGAAATAGACATTATCAGCTCTGCCCATACAAAATGATATATCTATTCACATCCTGCAAAAGCGAATGTATACAATAGACTCCATCCAAATGAGCCCTGGAAAGACCATGTTTAATGAGCCTATAACTATGGGTACTTATCAAGTTAGAAACACTTCTTTACATTATCTCCATCTGGATGGAGAAACTGCTTCACAAACAGGTTTTGCGAGTGTAGATCCTGTCTTTTCATCTAAAAGTTGTGGTATGTACAAAATCCTTTAGCAAGTGCTAAAATTCCATTGGTCAGTTGTTTCAGAGATGAATCAGAGAAATGATCTAGCCTACCTTCAAATGTTAATCAACAGTATCTTAACTATTTTAGAAGATATTTTAATTTGTATAGAAGAAATAGACTCATTCAGATAATCCTACCACTACACGGCTGAAAGGACCACTTCATCCATTCAGTTCTATCACCTAGATCAGGAAAGACAACCTCCAGATATTTTGGCTGACTAGTCCTGTAATATCTGTCCACTGGCCATGTTGGTTGGGGCTTAAGTAAACTACAGTACAAAATATCAGGAAGACACCATGTTGCACACTCCTGCCTTGAATTTTTCTTACCCAAACATACTTAGGAGTAGACTGCAAGATACCTTTGAGAAGAACATAACCTAAATTATATAGCTTGTCACAAGCATAAGCCAGTGAGTCAATGAACAGGAAACAGATCTAGGAAATTTATGTGAAATATCTCACACTGTATGGTCTTACATTGTTTTTCCTTTTAGCAACAATCCTATGATACCACAGAAGTGGGCTTTTCAAGCTTCTCTTCCAAAACATCACACTAATTTATCTGCATTTGAAAGATTTATTTTCAAAGGACTATACATTAAACTCTTTACAAACTGCCCTTCTTTTCTTCATTCTTATATCCTTATAAATAAGGACTAGACAAAATACCTTTTCCCAGTCATAAGAGTTCCAACAAGAGTTGTAACCAGTTCTTGTTGATCTTGTTCATTCCCAAGTTCATACACTAAACCAAGGCCCTTTGAAGCAACATCTTGACTGAGTTCTACAAGAAAAAGAAGTTCACAAGAGAGGATCACACTAACAACTCTCAATATTGACAGATTCTGCAAATTGCTAATAGAAAACCTTTCAGGGCTACAATAATTTTACACAATAAAATTAAATTATAAATAATTAAAATTATACAATAAAATTATATTTAACACATTAAAAAGTAGACAATGTTTAAAAACAAGGGAAGAGGTAGAAACAATGTTGTAACCCTTCTCATAATATTATATAGTATATCTGGCTAAGCATTCATTTCTGAAATAGTGAGTAGAATACAACCAGAGAAAATGCTTAAGATGTTGTCATTCAAAGTTATGCCTTGTGAAAGGAAAGAATACACATAGCCTGCTCTAATGATCTTAAGGTACAAACAACTAGTTACAAACAGCTTACATGAAAACTGTGACTCAGCCATATAGACTATCAAATCTTTACAACTCATCTCCTTGAAGTACATAATTTGCAGCAAGTACAAAATAGATCAGGAGTAGAGATGGGCGTATTCATATACGAATACCCCCCCACAGGTGGACATAACGAGGGTCCAACACCCCTGGGGCCGGACTGTCCACTCACCGTCTGCTGCCGCCGCCAGCTCCACACTTCCTTCCTATTGCTCCAGAGGTCATGGTCAATTAGCCACTCCTGGCAGGAGTTGGGATGACGAGCCTCTCTGCCAGGTTGAAGTGTGGCCAGCGGACCGGGTGCTCCAGAACGACAGGGAGCGCAGAGCCCATGGCAGCAGCGGACGGTGAATGGACGGTCTGGCCCCAGGGGGCCTAGGGAGCGCAGAGCCCATGGCAGCTCTGAATGGACGGTCTGGCCCCAGGGGGCCAGTCCCTTGTTGTGTCCACCTGTGGGGAGGCATTTGTATTCATAAAAGAATAGCCCAATCTCTAATCAGGAGGTATATTCCGCTGGACCAACTGTTCTTAGTGAAAAGACATTCAAGTTATTAAATTAAAAATAATTCTTCATCAAACAGACCTGAAGGGCATTAGTGGTATATTAAGACCACTAAACATTCCACTGGTTGAATATACCCTTAAATTACCAAAAAAGCAATTTTAGAAATAACAACATTTAGGTTGATGGCAGGCAACCTCCAGAGATCCAGGGACTGCAAGCCATAACTTCTGCTCCAAAGTTTCTTACAAAAATGCCCTTTTTAATACTGAAAAAAAGAGATATTTTAATTTTGAAAAATGGCGCTGTGGATGGTTGAGGGCCGTTGGGAAGCCCCCAAATATGGCAAAATAATCCTTCACCTCTCCTAGAAGAGAAAAGAGAACTTTTCAAGGGGGAGAAACATGGGGGCTGCATCTGGACCCCTGGGTGACCACACATGCTCACAAGCTGTATGTTGCGTACCCCTACTTTAAGTAATAAGGCCAATAACTGCATTCAAAGCCAGCTCTTTCTCTCAATTACAGTGCCTAATAATGACTTCAGTTTCAGATAAGGAAATGTATATGGTGAGCACTCCAACGATGGAGGCATTTAAGAGCAAGTTAGATAGACATCTGTCAGATATACTTTTGACCTGGATTCCTACACTGAGCAGGAGGAGGTTCATTCAGCTCCTATAACCTTATAAATCTTTACCAACATCATCATTCTATGATTGTGTGATTTTTAACCAAGAGGCAAAATTGTGTAACAATTCTACTTACCATCACTTTCAGACAGAATAGATACAAATGCAGTTTGAATTTCTTTAAGATGAGACTAAACAGGAAGGAGAAAACAGGACTATTAACTTACAGTTTTAGATTAATGACAGTATAAGACAGAAACCCACTCCTTTGACCCCACAGTTCTCTCCCTCCCTCCCTCCATCCTCCTTGACATCTCCCCCAAAACTGCTTCCCTACTTCCATTTTTTCTCATCCACATTTCTCTTTTGGCTAGTAGCCAAGATCAGAACAATGACATGCTGACATCTTACATCCTATGAATGTTGCTGGATAGAACTGGGTCACAGAAACATATAGGAAATAAATAAGACAGATATCTGGATGCCAGCACTTCACTTTGAAAGACTCCTGGCCACACAATGGTTTTTAAATCAAACTTTAACTATCTTTTTTTTTAAGAAACAAACAATTTTATTTTAAAAATTATCATATGAGCACTTAATGGGCGCAGAGAAGTGTCTATGGGCACTACACTGCCTACCACTGCTTGAACAAAGAGTTATAAAGCTAAAACACTCTTCTACATTTTATTTTCTTCTGCCCAGGTAGACAATGCACTTCAAGAACAAATAAAAAAACAGAATTCCGAGACAAATGCAAAAGACAAGGAGACAGCATAAAGACTGCATGGTTGGGGCACAGAAGAGGAACAGAACAAAAAAAGAGGGGGAAAATGCTTAGATCTTACCTTAATTTCTTTATGACTGCTTAACTTCTTCACCAGAGACAAAAGCCAGATACAGGATGCTTGCCTTATGTGGGGATTGGGGCTCACAATGTGTTTATTCAAAATAACATCCAAAACCCAGGGAACCACATCATTAACTTTCACATCTATTGCAATTAAATGAACAGAGAAAAGCATGTGAGACTCTTACAAAAAGGAATTTTAAAAACACTAATTGCCTTCCAGTTAAATATTCAGCATTCTAGTCCTTATAGGAATTTCTCCAAGTTCCAGTGTCTTCAGACAAGTTTGCAACTATGAAACATTACAGTGCTTTTCAGGCATCGTGTTGAGATCAAAATTAGGACTGTGGTGAGATAATGCTTGACATTTCAATCCCCACCACCACACTTTTAAGTGATCCTGTCCAATTTCCTAAAGCAATTCCTAAAGCATGGTTGTTGTGAGTTTTTCGGTCTCTTGGGCCATGTTCTGAAGGTTGTTTTTCCTAACGTTTCCCCGGTCTGTGTTGTCCTCTGAAGATGCCGGCCACAGAGACAACAACCTTCAGAACACGGCCAAAGAGCCCAAAAAACCCACAACTATTAGATCCCGGCTGTGAAAGCCTTCACGAATACAAATTCCCAAACCAATTCAATTTCCTAAAGCAATTCAATATTGCCTCTCTTGGATATTGTGACATGCCGACAAGCCTGACAGTGAAAGCGAGAGGGTTTTCTCCACAGTATTCAATGTTTAGTAGTCATGAGGAAACTTGTGAGGGAACATGAAGAAAACAAGGAGATGGCCATTCTAAGGCTTGCATCCCTTGTTCAGGTGATGGCTGAATATGGTACATGGTACAAGCTCTAATGTATGTTATCAGCAGCAGGGTTTCATGTATGTACAACTCCAATGGTTCTATAAAAATTTCTTTTGTTGGCAGCCCTTTTATTATAGGAGTTTCTTAACTTTGCTTTAATTTTTTTTAATCTACTCTGAAAGGTTGCTGTTATCTTGAATTGGTATATAAATATTTGAAATAAATGATTAGCCACACAAGGAACGGGGACTGCAATTTTATGTACACACACAGATACCTCTGCATCTTGTCTCTCAAACACAGGAGTACCAGAATCAGATTGTGCCTAGTTTTGCATCTTAAGCTTACTATTTGGCTGAAAGATTACTTTGATAAGAAAAAAAAAAATAGATCCACTTCTTGCAAGTTCAAAACTAAATTTAAGTTTATGATGAAGCAGGATATCCAAGAGGTTCAGGGGCTGTGTGTGAGAGTGAGTGAGTGTGCACGCACGCACACAGATCTGCTCCGATTCCTGCCTCCAAAACATTTTCTTACAAAAAGTTTTTTTAACTGAAAACCTCTTGTGCCCTCTAGTACAATTTCTCAATTTTTAAAAATTCTGGAGGGATAAGGGACCACATGGATCCTTGGAGATCCTCAAATATGCTCAAACTGTTTCATGTGCCCGCCCCCAAGGCTACAGGTGTACGTTTTGACCTAATTTCCCCAAAAGCAATTATTTTAGATTTTTGCAGGGATGATGGGGAGTGATGGTGCTGGGCATGAATTTGAGGCTCCAGGGCAGCATATTGCCCACAGGCTGTCTCCTTACGGTTTAAGGCAATGTTGCATGAAGTTCACCTCTTGAGCGTTTGAAAGAAACCCACAATACAGGCCTAAGATAAGGACCTAGTACAAACTGGGCATCTGGTTATAATCATATTCAGTTGCTTCCCTCTCATCAGTCATGAACTAAAGTTACTGGTCACAACATAATACAGTAGAAGAAAACGTCTTCAGTGCAGCTTAACTGCAGGATGTAAAGCAGATGAGCATGAAACAAATGAAGGTAAATCTTCAATGCAGCTTAACTGCAGCAGATGAGCATGAAACAAATGAAGGTAAATAAAGGAACTGCTTAGATGGTTTCTATTTCCTATCATCTCCCCCACAATTAGTTCTCCCACTAGATACTGATCTGGCACTCAGGAAAACACTATAAGGCACCGTGTATGCAATTGTTTACACGGATGTGGCAATATGTATACAACTTTTTAAACTATTCTTTCTGATGTTCCTCATAACCAAACATACCTACAGAAGGAGTATATTCTTCTTCAGCCACCACCCATGCATCACGGGCAGCTACAGAGCTGGTTCCTACAGCAGCACTGGTAATGGCTTCACCAACAGTAAACTGTAGTTCAATTTGCTTAGCCTATGAGACAAACATGAAGAAAGCACAGCATGTCACTCTTATAAGCCAAATAGCAAGATACTATTTATTGTTATTATATAAAATAAAAATAAATGTATTATTCTCCATTACACTCATTGGTTGAGATTTTCAAAGTGATTTTGAAAAAAAAAGTGATTTTGAAGGTTTAGTCACCTCACCCCTGCACCTTAATCATTGGTGTTTGGATGCTGACTTTCCCCAACCCAATGAAAGTTATTTGGAAAAATATCCTGCAACCACAGACTTTTCCATGCAGCTTTGTGAAGCAACAGCCCACTACCAAGAGGCTTAATTCATGCTAAGACAATCCCAAGACAAATCAACTGGGAAAGCTCATTACTGGCTCTGGTGGAAATTGAGAAATACCAAGTGGAAACAAAATATCTGCTGCAAAAGGAAGGATATTTATCTCTGGATCAAACCTCAGCCAGCTAACCTAAAAAGCCCACGGCTACCTTTGGCACAGTAACTGGTTCATGAGAGGACTAAGCAGGCCAATATGCTACTTCCTGCCCTTGCCAAGACCTATGAAAGGAGGAGGGAGTTTTCTCCTCAGGAAGGTTCTACTTCATAATTCCATGACACTTCATCTCCTGTGCCTCTTTGTCCAGAAATGCAGCAGGCTGCAGGGATACAGCGATCTGCATCACCTCCAAAACCTGCCTGAGTCACGTGCTATGTGTGGAAGGAGGGGCAGATCCTCCTCTATACCAGGGCTTGGAAAAGCTAGCTTTTTGGACCTCAACTCTGTAGGCAGGGTAGATTTAATTCATATCAAGTTGATTTAAATTATGATTTAAATAATAAAATTTTAAAATGATTTTTAAAAATTTAAGTCATAGTTTAAATCAATTTGATTTTTAAAAAATCATTAATTTTTTAATCCATTCTGTCTGCAACTCTTCTGTACCCAGTTAAGAAATGCAGCAAGCTAGAAGAGGAGGCACAGAGCACTCTATGCCGACAGCCTGCCCATTCAATTTTCATGCCTATGGTGGTCAAGTGAGTAGTTAAAAAGACATCAGTGTGCCAATAAGCTGCCTTAGGGCAGAGAATAAATTAATATTAAAAAGGAACAATTTACTGAGCCTTATTAAAACAAAGGTTAAATAAAGTTCACTGGGCAATGCAATAAATGCAACTTTATCCTTTTTAGTAGACCAAGAAAAATATAATGGGAATAGTATCATAAATATAGCAAAATAACCAGGATCACATGTGGGATTGCATGCTCTATTCCCTTCCCCTCTCCTGCTGCTGGTGTTATATCTACCTGCTGTCCTTCAACTGCAGTTCACAAACAGCAATATTACTAATCAGAGCTGAGGCTAACCAAGGTTTTCAACCTGCTTAAAATCCTGTTGGTCTTAGTGGCTTTTAATGTTGGGGCCAAAGAAAGAATGCACTGCAGGTGGTGGACATTTACATCGGAAAAGTAAAGCAATGCACCATGCTGTGATTCTATGTGTCTATGAGTCTTCCAACCTCTGAACTGAAGAATTCCACCCCTCTTATGGCAATATTGTTTTCTGAATACTGATTACACATTTAAGTTGACCCTTGACAATCCCTCCGTATTTTATTGATTGATTGATTGATTGATTGATTGATTGATTGATTGATTGATTGATTGATTGATTGATTGATTGATTGATTGATTGATTGATTGATTGATTGATTGATTGATTGATTGATTTGATTTGATTTGATTTGATTTGATTTGATTTGATTTATATCCTGCCCATCTGGTCTGGTCGACCACTCTGGGCGGCTTACAATAAAATATACAATAAACCATAGAATATACAAAAAAAAAATACAAGAATAATGTTGTGCTGCAGCCAGTGAACTAGTCTGCACAATTACAAATAACTGTGATGTTACATGTAACTTTTTTTAATAATATAACATGCACTTCAAGGAACAAAAAAATAAAAAGCAACAAGCTTTAAAGCTACACATCATAAAACAAACCAAGTTAGCATGCAACCCAATACAATAAAAAGCAAAAGTATTCTAGGAAAGATTTAACTGGCAGAAAGAAAGCAAAGTTCTGGTTTTCCCTGTAACCAAGGACTGCTATCCTAAAACACACTTACATAGTGAGGCCACTGTCCTGAACATGCATCAGACAGTAAAACTTAAATTTGTTAAAAAACCAAATAAAACAAAGAACATCTGTAACATACAGGATATAAACATAAAGGCAAGGATACTGCTCTAATGTATCTTAAAAGTAGTGAAACAAAGTATATAAAATCTTTTAAATCGTGCCTCTTGGTAAGTGGGTCAAAGTCATCTTTCATTTTGGAAGAAGAGTATCAGAGCTTTACCTCCACAGAATCCATTAAGCCTTGTAAGAGTAGCTTCTGATGGGGAAAGTCTCCATCCCCCACAGGGAAGTAACCTAGGGTTTGTATAGCTCGCTCTTTCATCTATAAGAAAGAAAAAAGAATTTGTTTTAAATGCCTGCCATTTTTAGGTGTGAAAAAAAATCTTCTAATCTCAGAAGCTAATCATATTTATAGAACCAGATGAAAAACCAATTTCACTTAAAGCTTCACATCTACATGATGCTTTCAATCTCTTCCTCATGCACACATTTCAACTCTTACATGCAAATGTCCCATCTTTCATTTTTTCCCTAGAATAAATCACAGTACAGTGAAGTATCTACATTTAGGTCAACCCCATTCATGCTGTACAGCATCTGCAGTAATGTGCTCCTGCACTTCTAAGTACACACATTAGCCACTGTTTAAAACGAACATAGTTTATGCTAATATTCATGCAGATGCAACTCTATACTATGGTTGACCTGAGGAAAGGAAAAGCATGCACACGCAAGAGCTATATGGAAGAAGCAGTCTGATCTCCTACTGATATGTAAGAGATCCAGAACATTATATCTGCACTAGACCTAAAATCATGTAATATTCATTCACTAAGGAAAAGATCACAACACAAAAGCATGTCACATTGTATTACATTATATATAAAGTACTGGAACATGGTGAAATATTCTAAGTTTAAATGTAATTTTTAAAAAATTATACTACTTCTTGTTGGTGAGCCTATGGGCTGAGCTGCCCTTCATTTTCTTAGAACCACAGAACTGGAAGGGACCCTCATGGTTCACCGAGTCCAGCCCAGCAAGGAGGAAGAGTGGGGAATTTAACTCTCAAACTCAGGCTCCACAGTCAGATACCTAAACCACTTGCTATCCAGCAGTTCATGTCTAGCACTTTTTAAAAACAAAGTCCTATACAAAATTATTTACATAGTACTATCACTGTATCTGGCATTACATGGAATAACATAGGCAAAACACAGATTCTTGTCAGACCCTACAATCTAAGATTGCCTGCAATCTAAATTGCAAGAGTACTGTATGGGAAACAACAAAGAAAAACAGAGGAAAACTGCAAATTATGAGCAAGAGTAGTTAAATACATGTAGGGAATGACGATAACTTCATTTGGGAATAAGGATTAAGAGGTAAACAATAGGCTTTATGAGAGAAAGTGGGATCTATAATATAACTATACTATCACTATTCTGTGATAGTAATTAGATAAAACCCCTTCCATTGATCTGATTCAAGCAGATTTCCTTAACTAGATGATACAGTTCATGAGAGCAAATTTCCAACTGCATTAAGTACATAAAAATCAGTAGATGCATGTGTGCTATAGACCTGCAAGAGTTCCAGGCGGTCAAGCTTGCCATTAGTCAGTACTCAGTTGATTTTATCTAATTAAGAATGGATGTAAGACTCTCTCTTTTTTTTTACAATCAATTTTATTAGTTTCCCTCCTTTCGCTTTAGGAAGTCCCTTTATCTGCCTTGCACATATCAAATAGATATGTACATGCATAAAGAAATAAAGCATAATGGCTTGGCAAAAAATTACCTTATTTGTTTCCTTGCCAGAAGGAATTCGGGCGAGTAAGCTTTCAACAAGATGGAGCTTGGTAAATCCAGTGCCTTCATTGGGGATAGGCAGAGGGGCGTTCCTGCCTATTTCCCCGAGTGCTGTACATGCAGCCACTGCCAAAAGTGGTGAGGTACTATCCAAGAAAGAACCTGGTAAATACAAATAGGATAATGTTTTCCCCTTCTTAAAAGCCAAAAGAAGTTGCAGCAACCTTCTTTCTGATGGGGTGGAAGAGAAAAAACCCAGAGACTGGATTCCTCCTCTACACCACCCAAAGACTCCCTTGTCCCTCTGTAGTCCTCAGAACGATCACCTCCACTGTTTGTGAAGGCTTCCCTTGAGCAGATTTCACGGGGGCACTGAAGACTAGAGTGGGAAAGGGAAGCTGGCAAGACTGCCTCCCCACTTCCAGGTTCCCTCTACTCGATCAGACGCTTCCGCTCACAGAAGGTTTACACTGTATCCAACTTCATAACTCAAAATTTTGAAAGTATGATGATGTATGTAATCATTATACCTTTCTACATTAGATACTATCAGGAATGAAGTGACAGGTGACCCACCTGTAATTGTAGTTCTTTGAGTGGACCTCTGTGATTCACACCCTGGGTGATACACGTCTGCGCAGAGCCTCATCGGAAGATTCTAGAGCTTCTGCGGTAGTAATGAACACATTAGAATATGCCCCTCCCTATCCATATAAGTACCTTGGCGCCAAGCGTCCCCTTTCAGTTGTGTCAACCGCTGCTTAAGAGTAAGCAAACAATGGCATGAAGAGGGGAGAATGGGTGGGATATGTAAATCACAGAGGTCCACTCAAAGAACTACAATTACAGGTGGGTTACCTGTTATTCTTTTGTGGCCTCTGTGAATCACACCCTGGGTGACTAATAAGCTGTCTTACTCGGAGGCAGGGTGTCGCACCAAGGCAGGGGTTAGAACAGCATGTCCAAAGTCTGCATCAGACTTTTGCCAGAGGCCGAGTCTATAATGACGGATAAACATGGATGGCTGTGGCCAAATGACAGAGGCGCGGATGTCCGGAAGAGGTACGCCATGCAGAAAGGCTGTAGATAAGGGTAGTCATAGCGTAAAGCTGCCAATTCACTAGCTCATCGAGCTGAGGTGATGGCTATGAGAAAAGCTGTTTTAAAGGTTAGGAGTCTTAAGTCAGTTGTAACTAATGGCTCAAAAGGAGCTTTGGTAAGCAGTTTCAAAACAAGAGTTAATGACCGCTGTGGAGAGGGAGGTCAAGTATTAGGGTAGATATGACAGAGACCTTTCAGAAAACATTTTGTTGTTGGATGTTTAAACATGTTTGCTGCTGGAGAATCTGGAGGTTGGTATGATATTATTGCCGAAAGTTAGACTCTCAAGGATGAGATGGAGAGGCCCTTGGATTTGAGATATAGGAGGAAGCAGAGAACAGTAGAAAGTGCTGGATTGATGGAGGATGATGAGGAAGATTTTGTAAAGGATTGAAATTTCTTCCATTTCTACAGGTAGGCTTTCCTTATAGATGGCTTTTGGCATGATGAAGAACCTTCATTAACGAGAGAGAATCCTCCATGCTGCCAGAGGCAGAACAGGTAAGTCCGGGTGTAGGATTTGGGAGTTGTTCTGTGTGAGAAGGTGTGGCAGGCAGGGGAGATGGTGGATGTCTGATGAGGGACTGTGGAGAACTGGGAACCAAGTCTGTCTTGGCCACCAAGGGGCTATAACAATGTAATTGGTTTTGTTTTGTTGTAGACGGACAGCAACTTTCTGGAGGAGAGTGGAACAGCGGGAAAAGGTAGGTACGAGTCTTGGGCCAACGGCCAACAAATGCATTTCCCTGGGAATGTTTTCCTATTCCTGCTCGGGAGCAATACAGCTGGCATTTCCAATTCGCTTGGAGGCAAAGAGATCGAGAGTTGGTGTGCCCCATTTCCAGCATAGTTGGAAGAATATTGGTTGATCTAGCTCCCACTCATGAGCTTGGGCATCTGTATGGATGAGCGAGTCTGCTAGGTCATTGTCCTGACCAGCGATGTGTAAGGCTGTGAAACAGATGTGATGTTGCAGACACCACTCCCAAAGGTCGACCGCTAGGTCGAGGAGACCTGGGGAGTGGATGCCACCTTGTTTTAGGATGTAGTACATCGCTGGGGCATTGTTGGTGGCGGTCTGTACCATTTTTCCTACAATACGGTTTCTGAAAGCTTTGCAGGCCTTTATGAGAGCTAGTGGCTTGAACTCGTTTATGTGGAGCAGTTTTTCTCTGTGAGACCATTTGATGTGGACTGCAATGACCCTCCAGCTGGTGTGATTGGCGTCGGTAGTGACTTGTATTCGTGGGCGAGGTTGTTGGAACGGTTGCCCAATAGAAAGGTTGGTATGGGAATGCCACCATTGAAGTTGAGAAGTCAATTCTGGAGTGACTCTTAGGAAAGTGAGGGGAGAGTCTGTTAGTGGATCGAATAGGGCTAGAAACCAGGATTGGAGAGATCTCGTTTTGAGACGCACATGCTGTACAACTGATGTCATAGAGGCCATGGTGCCTAGAACTCGTTGCACCATTAAGGCAGGTATTAAGGCATGCGGACTGAAGCTACAAAGTAAGGTGAAGAGATGTTTTCTCTTTTCTACAGGGAGGAACACGTGAGCTCGTGAGGAGTCTATGAGTACACCTATGTAATGTATAGTCCTTGTAGGTTTTAATGTTGGTTTTTTGTTTGTTGAGTTAGACCGAGATTGCGAAGAAGGGTGAGGGTGAAATGGGTGTCTTGTCGAGCTTTGCGACGGGAGTGTACTACAAGGAGCCAGTCATCAATATATGGAAAGACGAGAATGTTTTCAAGTCTGAAGTAGGCTGCTACCAGCGCCATGCACTTGGCGAACACGTTTGGAGCTGTTGCAAGGCCAAATGGGAGTCTTCTGAATTGGTATGCTGGTGGTCCAAGTTGGAAATGAAGGAATTTTCTTTGTGTGGGATGTATTGCAATATGAAAGTAAGCATCTCTTAAGTCTATAATGGTGAACCAGTAACCATGGGTAATTTTGCAGTAACGATGTAGTTATTTAATAATCTTAAATGTAGAATAGGGCGAAGACCCCTGTCTTTCTTGGGGATGGTGAAATAATGAGAAAAAAACCTGTTGTTTTGATAGACGGGTTATATGGAATATTTGAGAAGTAAATTCGTTATTTCTTCTTGCAGGGATTGTGACGGAGGAGTAACGACGTTTATTGTCGGAAGAAGTTCGAAAAACTGGATGCGGTAGCCGTTTTTTATGATGGAGAGTACCCAGGAATCTGTGGTGATGGATTCCCATGCAGGTAAGTGTTTCCAGAGGGCAGGGTTGGTGGGGTGGGTGGCAATCTCAGTCAGAGGAACGTCAAACATGGTGTTTGGGTTTCTGGTCATTCCGCCTAGGCCCTAGTGGCAGGCTGTTGCCGGGTTTTGGCTCTTTGGTTTTTGATCTATGGATTGTAAAAGGTTTGTCGTGGAGTGTCTCGTTGGAACCTCTGCTACGAGTTATAGGGTCATTTCCATTGATTTTGTTGAGGACGTTGCTGATAGGAAGGGTAAACTACCCAACATCTGGCTGCTGAATGTTTCTTTTCGACATTCTCTAGTATATAATCAGTTTCAGCATGAAAAAAACCTACTCCATCAAAGGGGAGGTCTTCGATACATGCCCGAGCATCTTCAGCTAAGCCGGCTGTTCTGAGCCAGGAAAACGCCGTAGAGCTACTGAAGTGGCCATGGACTTGGCTGTAGCATCTACGGTGTAGTGGTCGGAAAGCATCTGTTGTTTAGCAACGAAGAGACCTTCTTGTTGGAAGGTTTGAGCTAGTATCTTTTTATCCTCTGGCAGGGATTCTATAAAGGTGACATGTTTTCCCAGAGGAAGCGTTGGTAAGCTCCCATGGCTCCTTGATAATTAGCGACTCGCATGGTGAAGGCTGCGGAAGAGTAAAGCCATCTACCCATGGAGCCTATTCATCTGCTGTCTTTATTTGGTGATATGAGAGACTGTCTGTGTCGACAATCTCAATTGAGAGGCTTCAACAAATACAGAATTTGGAGCTGGTTGTTTTTGGAGGAAAATGGCTTCTGGTTCATGGATTCTATAGAGGTTATCAATCCGTTTAGACATGGTATGGGAGGAAGCTGGTTTTGTCTAAGATCTCTGTGCAGTACTAAGGAGAGATGGCAACATCAATGTGTGTACCAGAGTGGTTGTATTTTTAGACATCAGATCATACAGATGATTGGCTGGTTCTGTCGATGGTCGGTGGATTTGCAGATCAAGGGATTTAGCCATGCAAATCATAAGTTGGGCATAGGTCTGGAAATCCTCTACTGGCGACAGCAGGTTGGTATTGACAATGTCCAACTCTGGAGAAGTAAGTAATACTGATGGAGTCTGCGGCCGAGATCCATGGTCAGAGCCATCGAGGTCGCATCTGGAGTCGACGGACTGTCAATTGACTTCGGTGTCAAGAGACTGAGTTTTGTAGTATTGCCGGTTATGAGTCGGAAAAAATGGAGGTGGCATGTCCATGGACATCTTTCAACGTCGAGGATTGTTGACAGCGAAAGATGGTGGTTGAGCTTTGACGGACCTCGATTGATAGGGAGGGACCTTGTTGTTGAGCTCAGTGTCGGGGTCGATGAATTGGATTTACCGGAGGAAGTGACCTGTGTTGATGTAATGGAATGGAGCGTGTGTCCATGGACCAGGATGGATATCGCGGATCGTCGATATCAGAGCCTGTGTCTCTGTGATGTCAAAATGGAGGCTGCTTATGTGATGGCATAGTAGAAGAATAAACGGACGCTGGCGATGCTGAGCGTGAAGAGTGATTTCTGTCATCTATTGTAGTAGGAAAGTATCGGGAGGCCGGGGCTGCAAAACCCTCACATGTGGGTAAAATCTGCTCGACAGTTAGAGGATTTTTCCAAGACCAAGTGGGGAGCAGGTTGAGGTATAGATACCTCTCAGTGATGTGGCTGCTTCGACACCAATGGTTGTCGGGAGGTAGGCCAACTAATAGATGGTATTATCGAACCGGGTAAAATACCTGGCCGACTAGTCGATGCAGTCTGTTGAGCAGAGCACTGGTCAGGACAAATGGCAATCTAAAGCGCATGCGGAGCGTGGGTTTGAACCACACGCGATGAAGCAAGCTGTCGAGTTTCTTGATGTTGACGGTTCTGATTAGGGATCGGTGGGTGATCTGAGGGCATCGAATATGGAACAGTGTCGAGCCGTTTGGGATGGGAATTCTCAGGCAGTGGAATAACTGAAGGATTGTGGACTGGGAGTAGAGGACATTAGTCGGTTGACTCTATCATCCCATTCCGGAGACTGAGAACAGGGTTGATGGGACAGACTTCTGTCATCATCTGAGGGAGATCTGACTGAAATCAATTCAGAGAGTTGTTGTGGTTGTGGTGGGATGTCTGTAGGCTTAGACTGTTTAGCTTGTTTAGGAGGAACAGGCTCCAGAGCTGGAACAGTTTCAGTAGGTCTCTGACGTTTAGAAGTTGTTTTCGAAGTCGAGGGCTTTGGCCTTGAGGGTTTCAATTTGTGTGTCTTTGAGGTCTTAGACAATGCAGATGGAGAATCGGAATGAGCTGGTGTAGCTGATAGACGTCGTTTCGATGATTCAGTAATGGCTTTTTCCATTACTTTGGTTTGGGAAGTGGCAATACAGGGAGGTTGGCCCATTTAAACTGCTTGTAAGGACTGTTCCCAAAGTCTGAGCTTTAGCCTCAAGAGGCGAGACTGAAGAACTCCGCATTTAAAATTTTTGCAATGGGTACAGGAGGAAGTTTGATGTTGTTCTCCCAAACAGAAAAGGCACTTAGCGTGTCTGTCGGAAAGTGGGATTTTATTATCACAGACAACACAGTGCTTAAACAGGCCCAAAGGGGTCATGAATAGGAGAAATAATTGAGGAGAAAAACCAATGACTGAAGGGGGGTGCTGCGGCCGGAGGCCAAGCGAGGGGAAAGGAAAAAATCTCTGATGATAATGAGTTTAATCTACTAGTTCAGTGGTTCTTAACCTTGGGTTACTCAGGTGCTTTTGAACTGCAACTCCCAGAAGCCTTCACCACCAGCTGTGCAGTTCAAAAACACATGAGCAACGCAAGGTTAAGAACCACTGTACTAGTTTAAAAGAAAAAGATTGGTAACAGGAAGGAATCAAGAATAAACTTTGTTTCTCTTTTACTCACAGAAGCAGAATTATGAGGCTCTCAACACGGCAGTTAAAAGAAACGAAAAGGGGACACTTGGCGCCAAGGTACTTATACAGGTGGGGAGAGGCATATTCTAATGTGTTCATTGCTACCGCAGAAGTTCTAGAATCTTCCAGTGAGGCTCCGCACAGGTGCGAATCACCCAGATTGTGATTCACAGAGGCCACGAAGAACTAGGCAAAACAAATGGAGTAAAGCTCCATGCATGAGAAGACCAATACTGTTATAGTGATAGCAGTCTTGATTTGACGTGTGATAGATTAGTGACAGGCAATCTCTGTGGTCTTATGGGCCTGTTCTAAAGACAGTGAATGAAGCTAGAGCAAGCATATTTTGCAGTATAAACTGTCTACAAGTAGGCAGAACTCATAATACTTGTGCCATCTAAAAAGAATGGCTTTGCAGTTTGGGCATAACTGAAATATTACAAAGTCCCAAGGAGAAGTTGTTACATTAGAATTAATTGCCGTATGTTTGGCTAAACTTTGGCAGCCACCACAAGACAATCAAACAAGTTATTTGTGATATCACTATGCCCTTCAATCAAACCGGATAAGACTAACATACAGGTGGTTGCAAATATAAATAGATTGTATAATAAACAACTCAAAAAATTGTAAAAATGTTCTCTTATGAATTATGAACCAAAACACTGAACAACAAAGTGTGGTAGTACAGGTTTCAGACCACTGCGGCAAAAGCCTAATTCCAACTGCTAGTCCCAAATGCAGCACACCTACTAAATCAAGCACAGTATAGTTAATTCCACTGATTCAACAGACCAACTCTTGTTGGACTCCAACTGGATTCAAGCCAGAGCTTTCAGAAACTAAGACGCACAGATTAAGGAAAATACAGAACAAGGTTAGGAGACAGAAATTTCATTTTTCAGATCTACATATACAGAATTGATCAAACAAACACAGAGAAACAGAGAAACTGACCTATAGTTTCTGTTGTTGACTTTATCAGCTCATCTTGTTCTGGAGCAATAATAGTATTTGGATCTTCTAGGTCATGTAGTTCTACCATCCTTGATTTTCTTTTTGACAAATACCGTCCTACTGTGAACCCTAGTGCCAACAAGGATCCATGTTGCATTTCCAAATTCTACAGATAAAAAGTAATAGTCTCAAAATGACATACAGTGCTCTAAATCAGGGGTCGTGAACCCCTGGTCCACGGCCCAGTGCTGGTCCGTTGGCTTGCCAGAACTAGGCCATGGATACAGATCTCTGCCTGCACATGCAGTTGGTGTGACAGGCTCATGAAGGGGGCTGTGTCACACCTGCGGGGGCCATGTCACACACCCCCGTGAGTGTGAGGCCCATCACACGAGCATGACATGCCCCCACCCCCACACATGGAGCTCGCTCCCCCCAGCTGGTCCGTGGCCCCAAAAAGATTGGGGACTGCTGCTCGTGGATACAGATCTCTGCCCGCACATGCAGTTGGTGTGACACGCTCATGAAGGGGGCTGTGTCACACCTGCGGGGGCCATGTCACACACCCCCGTGAGTGTGAGGCCCATCACACGAGCATGACATGCCCCCACCCCCACACATGGAGCTCGCTCCCCCCAGCTGGTCCGTGGCCCCAAAAAGATTGGGGACTGCTGCTCTAAATGATATTCACCAGCATGCTACCAGTAGCTTTGCATACATTTAAAAGTAGGGTGTCAACTTTTAAACAGGTTAATCAGTTCAGATCATCTGTATTTAAACCAATAACACATTTTAAAAACATACATTATTTTGATATATGTACTTACAACAACTCTTCTAAGATGGTGCCTATAACAATCTGCACAAACAAATTTTATTTCCAAAACTACTGGAAATAAATCTAAGCACTTTTGTCATATGTAAGTAAACTCAAATTAAATCATATCAATTAAAACTAAAAGTACTTTTAACTAATTGTTATTTAAATCAGGAGCTAGTCCTAGATCAAGAGTATATTCGAATATATTGTCCTATCTCCAAAGTCTGGAATGGCAAAATTACTAAATTAATTAATAAATTTCAAATTATATACTGGCCCATAGTGCAAAGCACTCTCTGGGCGGTTCACAGCAAAGCACATAAACAATAAAGAATAATCAAGAACAATATACATCCTGACATATTGACAACAATAAAATCAATCAATAAAACCACTGAACTAGCTAACATCTTTAGATAAATAAACAATTCAAAACAACATTGGACATCACAGATAAAAGCAATAATAAAAAGCAGCTTTAAACAATTTGTTTTAACTAACTTCTTGAAAACTGAGAGGGACGGTACCAGATGAAACCAGTAAGTCTAAACATTCTGTCTTCCCACAACAGAAAGTATTTATTTATTCAGACTGAAAGCCCAAAGTTGCAACACTATACTCCTGTATTTGAATTCAATAAGATTCATTTCTGAACAGAAATAGCTACTGAGTAGAAATGTACTGCTCTCTAAATACGTTTCAGTTGTGCTCATGGAAAAACTTCTGAATACGTGAACTATGGTATTGTATTTTCTTTGCCTTTGCCAAAGCAGAAAAAGAAAAAAGAAAACACTGACGAAATAGTCTCTGTATCTTAAATATATTTCAAATATATGTAAAAGTATAAGTTTTAAGGTGATGAAATCGTATCTCCTTTTCCAAATATTTTACCAATTTGTTATGTTGTTCAAATATAAAGAAAAGTGTCCTCTTCAATTAATTCAATTTTCTTTCAATGGGAAAATAACCTTTGGATCATACCTCTGTGTGCATTGCCTGTGTTTTGACATCAGCAAAAATTAATAGAAAACAATAACAAAACAAAACGATTATCTTACATGATTGTCCTTTGCTGTTTTTATCAGGTGCTGAACTGATGTTTTAAATTCATTTTCTGACACTGTTGACAACACTACCGAATAAAACAGAGCAGCCAGCTCCCGCATTTCTTCTTTATTAGTATTCATAAGGCTCTGAAAAGATTAAAGGAAAAAATTTAAATATGTATCAACTTTTACTAGCATTGCAACAACCAGACTCGCCTGACAACATATTTGCCAAATTTCAAACAGAAGAGGAAGCCTGCAGTCCATGAGATTCACAGGCCAGCACCACTCCCACTGCATGCTGACTTTATCCGATACATCAACTCTTTTATTTAAAAACCTTGTCTGTGTACAATACAGCCAGATTAAAGATCAGAGTGTTGCCTCAAAGCGTGGGAAACAGAATTAACCAACAAAAATCCAATGCCCTGTGAACTCCATTGATTTGAAAAGTTTTCTTGGAGTAATATTGAAATAGAGCATGCTTAAACATTTTCAAGAAACATCCTTAAAAGAAACTATCATAACTTCTTTGTGGGTTCACAGCTACTTGTTTTGTTCTAATTTTAAAATGTTCATACATTAAATATGAGCTGAACTGTATGATTTATATTATAAACTACCTTGCAAAGGTCACAGTTCTGAAGAGCAGCTGGAAGCATCTTAATTAAACAGATTTGTAATATTCTGCCTTCAAAGTAATGTCTTATCTATCCATCCATCCATCCATCCATTACACTTACACCTCACCCATCTAGTGCCTAAGCACCATTCTGGGCAGCTAACAGCAGTTAAAAACACAACTACCTATCCCCAAACACAAGGACAGAAATAAAGAACATACAAATGGCTAACTTTTAAAATACATACCTATGTTGTGTATAGAGAAACCCTGACACTAGGGAGAAATTAGGTGAACAAACATGTGACTTTAGCTACATATTAACCAAATTTTAAAAAATAGAAATTCCATTGTTTACTCTCTTAGGATGGATACAAACTGTCTGGATGAGATGCAAGACATTTTAAAAATAAAATCATGTTACATACCTTTATCCAATCCATTTTGTCAACAAATCTTGCAGCAAGTTTCTCTGGGTACACTGAAATAACTTCCAACAGGCAATACATGACTGGCAAACCTACAAGGTATTATTTTTAAAAAAAGAAACAAACTCTCATATTATTGAAATTGCAGACACCTATTTCATATGCTCTCTCATAGATGCATTTTCTAGCAAACAATATTTTCATGCTGTGTGTTTGGCTGCATACATTCTATACAAAACAAACATGCTAATAATATTCCAAATAAATTTAACAAATATACAAAGCATCTCCTAAACTGTTATTTCTTCTTTAAACAATGGGTAAGTATGTTCTGAAAGTCAAGCCATATGACAAAAATAAGAATCTAGTTTGATACTGAAGTTCTTACCAAAAGGTCTGTCATCTCCTTGACAACTTTGCATGTTTGAAAATCAGGTTTAAAAATATTTTAAAATATGGGACTCTCAGAATACCAAACAAGGACTAAATAGATTCATAAAAATCTTAAGAGCTGAGGCTACCCAGCTATGCATATACTGACTGGCATAAAAATCAGATGCAACATCTTTCATGGACAGCACTTCAGCAGTAAGTATTTGTGAGATCAGAATGATCCAAAAATATTTACTTTATTTGATAATTTCATAAGGAACAACACAGTCAATCACCTGGTTCATAAGCCCATAATGGCAAACAGGTCTTGCTTTGATTGCCATCCACAAATTACAATTAGAAGCCAGAGTTTGCAGTTGTCTTACAAACTCTGACTTACTTAAACCACAGCTTGCTATTGCATCCGAAACCAAAATCATAGTTTGCCTCAAAAGAAGTGTAAGGAAAACAAACCAAAAAAGGAGAGAGCAAATTCTTATTTGTTTGATCCTCTGCATTCATTTGTGGCTAAAGTCAACCATGTAATATAATTGCAGCTTAGCACAACATGCAAATACAGCTGACATTTATAACAGTTCATATGTGTTTCTGATGCCCATTTCTGATTCTCCTAAATACTCTAGATGCCTATTATGATAAATAACCTGCTGAAGCCAACCCTAACATTACCAACTATGACATATAACTCATTCCAGTTCAGGCAAAGAGAGGGAAATGCAGTCCACAGGCTAATGCAGTTTACTCATCTCTATAGCCTACAAAAAACTGTCCTATCAAGGTCAAATTTATTTCATTTTGAGATAAAACTGTTTTGTTATAAGCTACTATAATTGGTGAAATCAACAATAGCATGAGGAGTTTGATCATTCATAAAAATGCTGTCAATTGCTGGGGAGGGGGAAGCATTGCCTAATTGGATGTCAGTTTCCCCTCTGAAAGTAAGATATGAAGTTGAATATAATTCAAAAGCTCCATGACAAGATAGCAAGCCAAGCCACAATATCAACTCACCCACACAGAAACCAAAAGGAGGAAAGATGGAAGAATGAGAGGCACAGCTGCCGAAATCCCGCGATACTGGAAGTGATGCCACTTCCGGTGTCGCTGTGATGAGAGGAAGTTATTTAAGGGAGGGGATGAGAAAAGCCTAAGATGTTGGAGGCAATGGAATATATACATGCTGAACAGTGGAAACACAAAGGGAAACAGCTTACGTCGTTTGGAATGCAAGACTAGAAATGTTTTTTAAACAAGAATTAAAACTCAGCATTTCCAAAATGAATGATAAATAACCTGCTGAAGCCAACCCTAACATTACCAACTATGACATATAACTCATTCCAGTTCAGGCAAAGAGAGGGAAATGCAGTCCACAGGCTAATGCAGTTTACTCATCTCTATAGCCTACAAAAAACTGTCCTATCAAGGTCAAATTTATTTCATTTTGAGATAAAACTGTTTTGTTATAAGCTACTATAATTGGTGAAATCAACAATAGCATGAGGAGTTTGATCATTCATAAAAATGCTGTCAATTGCTGGGGAGGGGGAAGCATTGCCTAATTGGATGTCAGTTTCCCCTCTGAAAGTAAGATATGAAGTTGAATATAATTCAAAAGCTCCATGACAAGATAGCAAGCCAAGCCACAATATCAACTCACCCACACAGAAACCAAAAGGAGGAAAGATGGAAGAATGAGAGGCACAGCTGCCGAAATCCCGCGATACTGGAAGTGATGCCACTTCCGGTGTCGCTGTGATGAGAGGAAGTTATTTAAGGGAGGGGATGAGAAAAGCCTAAGATGTTGGAGGCAATGGAATATATACATGCTGAACAGTGGAAACACAAAGGGAAACAGCTTACGTCGTTTGGAATGCAAGACTAGAAATGTTTTTTAAACAAGAATTAAAACTCAGCATTTCCAAAATGAATTCCAAAAAAGAAAAGAGCCCAAATCTCAGTCTTAAATACTTTTCTTTGCAAATCACACCAAGGAATGGGGTGGTAGGAGTGGAGTGGTAGGAGCGGCCTCATGATGTGAATGTGGTTTGCAAACATAGTATGCACCACTACAACCCAGTCTATCTTTGCACATTGCAGTAAAACCAATTTGAGGGTTATGTATTTGGGGAGTGACTTTCCTCTCTGCAGACACCCATAAATTAGACTCGTCCACATTCCCCATGGCATATCATATTATCTGGCTCACAAAGTAAAGCTAGGTGTACTTGTGACATTCTTTGACCAAAATAATTTCAAATGAGAATAGGAAATTAAACTAATAACACTCTCCCCTTTGGAAGCCCAAATCGTGCAAATATTGGCCTCATTTGGGCATGAAATTAAAAACTGGATAAATTTAAACATCCAGGGCTCAGTTATCAAAGCTTGTATCTGGTTTGCTGGACTGTTTTGTTCTAGTTATTTTGAATAGCTTCCATCATTCTATTGCCTGTATCCTGCTCTGAAATCTTCAAATACATGGTGGGATGAAAGTAGTTTTTGTAAATACATACATTCCATGGAACTCCATAAAGCAAAATGACAATGATCTAAAATCAGCTATTTTAAAAGGACAGAGGATAAAATCATAAAGAATGGAGTCCACCAGTCATGACAGCAGCCAGATAGAACTTCCATATACAGAGGCACCTGGTTCGTTAATGAAAAGAGAGTACCAGACTTTAGTATGCATGTTCTTAAGACGTGCACTTCCCCACACTTGATGAAGTGACCATGCCTGTCAATTAATTCACCTTTTGAACAAGCACACTAAATATCTGGTCATGCAGCAACTTTACGAAATCAGTAAGAAAAAAAGAGTGCTATCTTTCAGCTTTATGACTCATGGTTTCTTACCTCCAACACCAGAGAGTAGCTGCTGCAAAAGACTTATATAGATCTGGACAGGGTTGCTTTCACCGCCCTTTGAGGATGAGGACGTTATGACATGTCCCGACAACAGGTTTCTTATATAACGGCCAATGGCAGGGGCATGATCCTGCATATCTGCTAAGCTCTGAGAGGTGGGCACCACACCAGCACTATGAGCAAGACACATCCGAAGGTACAGGACTATCTAAGCAGAGAAGAAAAATACATGAAAGTTACAAAGGAAACTCCTCAGCAGAGCAAACATCCATCTATATCAGTAACAAGGTGTTTGGCCTGATTATCTCAATCACTATTCCTGATTTAACACCACCACCTTGTATTGTCATACTATTCTGGAGATTCAAAACTTCTCGCACAGATTCTTCTGCTCTTTTTAGAGCCACTCTGTAAGGTCAGTCTTATGTAATTATGCCAATGTTGCAGATCGAAGGAGTTTGGGTGGCTGAGCTGACACAGAGAACTATCTGGTAATGCCACCTCACACATTCACAGTTGAGGCACACTGAAAGAAGTGTGCTTATATACCGCCCATAGCACTTCAAGAACTCTCTAGGCGATTTACAAGTTAATTATGCAGGCTGGGTACTCATTTTACTGACCTCAGAAAGATAGAAGCTACCTGGGATTGAACCCCAGGTCATGAGCACAGTTTTGGCTGCAGGACAGCAGTTGAACCACTGCGGCATGAAGCTCTTACTAATAACTCAGTCATTTTGCAAATGCATTGTGCTGTCTCTCATGCATTTTTTTAAATTACTGCTCTGTATATTCTAGAAGGAACTGCAACATGCTAGATCATATAGCTCTGAGAGCTAATTGCTATGAAGTATGAGAGACATGCACCAGATCTAAAATTATTACAAAAATGAATTAAGCAAAACTGAAAAACATTTTGTCCAAATTTTTAATTGAGAATGTTACTACTGATTCACAGAGACCACAAAAGCAAAGGACGCTTTGTATGTGAGATAGAGGGGAATCTGTACTATATTATCAAGAAAAACTGAATTCTCAAATGAAATTATATTGCATATTTCCCCTTTTGTGAAGTTTTTCAAAATAATTGTTTTGTGCTTAATTCTCTTTATAATCATCATTAAAAGAGAAAAGAAGCCCTCCACTTTATGAAATTTTTGTCAAGCCTTTTCCACATGCCTTCAAGGATACTTTTTAGAAACCATAAGGGTTTCAAAATCTTATATTTAAAGAAAAGACAAGAAAGCTTAGGATTGTTAGGTAGCAAAATTATGGTTCCAATACAATATTGTAGTTCCTGCTATTTGATCAGAAAACATTACTTTTCTCAAATGTTTTCTCAGTGCAAACTTTGAAAAGAGATTGTGTACTGTGTTTATTATCTCAAGTGAAACTAGGATACTGCACAACACAGACAGTGAAAATAACGAGACACTGACTGGTTAACCCACTGAGTATTTATCTAAAATATTTGTCAGCTGTTTCTATTGAAATAGTATACAGAACAGTTTGTAAAGAATAAGAAAATAGTAAGAACAAGCAGATTACAGTGGTGCCTCGCATAACGAGCGCACCGTTTAACGGCGAATCCGTATAACGACGCTTTTTGCGATTGTTTTTACGATTGCATTGCGATGTTTTAATAGGCTAAACATCACATTGCGATGTTAGGGAAACAGCTGATTGGCGGTTCCAAAATAGCCGCCGGATCAAGAAAATGGCCCCCTGCAGCGTTTTCGCGCCTTGCCCTCGCTTACTGAGGCGGTGAAAATGGCGGACGGATGGGGAATCTTCGCTTACCGGTGAGTTTAATGCGTTCCTATGGGGTTTTACGTTCCGTTTAGCAATGTTTCCGGAGAGCGATGTTTTTCCTGGAATGGATTAACATCGCTATGCGGGGCACCACTGTATTTTAACAAAACTGGCACAAAAAATTAAAACTACACAGACAGGACTAATACAATTAATAAAATTATACACTTTAAATTGTACTCAACAAATCACAGATTGCTATAAACTTCAAAAAAGCCACATAGCCTGTCCCATGAATCACAGAAATGTTTTCTACCTCTCTGACATGCTGTGGAAAACCATTCCAGAACCTGGATGCCATCACTGAAAAAAGGTGTCTTTCTGCTCCACCCTGCCGGTCACCACCCACCTAAAAACCCAGCAAGCGAATCTAGAGGAGGCCTGTCATACATTTCCAGCAGATATGGAAGAAGACTGTACAGTGGTGCCTCGCATAATGGGCACCCCATTTAATGATGAATCCGTATAGCGACAATGTTTTTGCGATCGCTTTTGCGATCGCTTAACCATGTTTCCTATGGTGGGAAATCGCTTTGTGATGATCGGTAAGCTGTTTCGCTTACCGATTTTCGCATAGCGATAATTTTTCCCCAGCTGATCAGTGGTTCCAAAATGGCTGCCGGGTAAAACAGGGGCGGATTCTTCGCTTACTGGGCAGCTAAAATGGCCGCTGTATGGAGGATTTTTAGGACTTGGTGGTGCTGCGGGCTAAATCGCAGAAGCCTGTGCTGCAGGGTCAGAAGACCAAGCAGTCGTAAGATCGAATCCACGCGATGGAGTGAGCTCCCGTTGCTTGTCCCAGCTCCCGCCAACCTAGCAGTTCGAAAGCATGCAAATGTAAGTAGATAAATAGGGACCACCTCGGTGGGAAGGTAACAGCATTCCGTGTCTAAGTCGCACTGGCCATGTGACCACGGAAGATTGTCTTCGGACAAAAACGCTGGCTCTATGGCTTGGAAACGGGGATGAGCACCGCCCCCTAGAGTCGAACACGACTGGACAAAAATTGTCAAGGGGAACCTTTACCTTTATGGAGGATTTTGGCTTAAAAGGTAAGTTTTAAGCCCATAGGAACGCATTAAAGGAGTTTCAATGCATGCCTATGGGCTTTTATATTTCGCATAGCAACAAATCCGTACAGTGACAATTTTTGCTGCATGGATTATCGTCTCTATGCAGGGCACCACTGTATTCAATTATCAAACAAAACAACAAACCTGGTNGGCTTCTTCCAGTCCAGCCTTCCGCATGATGTATTCTGCATACAAGTTAAATAAGCTGGGGGACAGTATACAGCCTTGCCGTACTCCTTTCCCCATTTTGAACCACTCAGTTGTTCCATGACCAGTTCTAACTGTTGCTTTCTGTCCCGCATATAGGTTTCTCAGGAGACAGATAAAGTGGTCAGGCACTCCCATTTCTTTAAGAACTTGCCATAGTTTGCTGTGGTTCACACAGTCAAAGGCTTTCGCATAGTCAATGAAGCAGAAGTAGATATTTTTCTGGAACTCTCTGGCTTTCTCCATAATCCAGCGCAAGTTAGCAATTTGGTCTCGAGTTCCTCTGCCTCTTCGGAATCCAGCTTGTACTTCTGGGAGTTCTCGGTCCACATACTGCTGAAGCCTACCTTGGAGGATTTTGAGCATAACCTTGCTAGCGTGTGAAATGCGTGCAATTGTACAGTAGTTGGGACATTCTTTGGCACTGCCTTTCTTCGGGATTGGGATGTAGACTGATCTTTTCCAGTCCTCTGGCCACTGCTGAGTTTTCCAAACTTGCTGGAATATTGAATGTAGCACCTGAACAGCATCATCTTTTAAGATTTTAAATAGTTCCATTGGAATGCCATCACGTACACTGGCCTTGTTGTTAGCCAATCTTTCTAAGGCCCACTTGACTTCACTCTCCAGGATGTCTGGCTCAAGGTCAGCAACCACGTTATCTGGGTTTTCCATGATATCCAAATCTTTCTGGTATAATTCCTCTGTGTATTCTTGCCACCACTTCTTGATGTCTTCTGCTTCTGTGAGGTCCCTAGCATTTTTGTCCTTTATTATGACCATCTTTGCACAAAATGTTCCTTTAATATCTCCAATTTTTCTGAACAGATCTCTGGTTTTTCCTTTTCTATTATTAAGAGCCTCTATCCAGAGTTCTTCAGGCATTCTGTCCACCAAATTGACTTTCTTAAATCTGTTCTTCACTTCCAGTGTGTATTCATAAGGGAGTTGGTTTAGATTATACCTGACTAGCCCAGTGGTTTTTCCTACTTTCTTCAGTTTAAGCTTGAATTTTGCTATAAGAAGCTGATGATCAGAGCTACAGTCGGCTCCAGGTCTTTTTTTGCTGACTGTATAGAGCTTCTCCATCTTTGTCTGCAGAGAACATTATCAATCTGTTTTTGGTATTGCCCATCTGGTGATGTCCATGTGTAGAGTCGCCTCTTGTGTTGTTGGAAAAGAGTGTTTGTGATGACCAGCTTGTTCTCTTGACAAGTACTTGTACTTGTCCTCTGCTCTTCCTCAGTAGCATGTTGGATGCCTTCCGACCTGAGGGGCTCATCTTCCAGCGTCATATCTTTAGCCTTTGGTTTCTGTCCATGGAGTTTTCCTGGTAAAGATACTGGAGTGGCTTGCCAGTTCCTGCTTCAAGTGGATCACGTTTAGTCAGAACTCTCCACCATGACCTGTCCATCTTGGGTGTCCCTGCACAGCATAGCCCATAGCTTCTCTGAATTACTCAAGCCCCTTCACCACGATAAGGCAGCAATCCGTGAAGGGAAAGAAACTGGTAGCTAACGATAACATTTAACAGACATCTCTTGTGATCAGGAACAAAGCTCAGTGTTACAAAGTGTGCTTGCTTACAACTTACTCACAAATACTCACATTTCTGGTTTTCAAGCCAAATTCTAGATGGGCATAATAGAATAGCTGGGACTAGAAATGATGGGCCATAAAAACCTTTTAACTTCTGCATAGAACATTACTAAACCAATGAAATACACCCTTGACAAAGCTGAATGAAATACATGGGTAGTTTTCAACAATTTTGGCAGAAATATTGGATAAAAGGGGGCCAAGATAGAAA